AGCACAGATGCCATTCCGGACAGCATCTCGACAAACGAGCTAAGCTTACAGATATGTCCGTCGATGTCCCACGTGATCACGAAATACTCCAGGGTCTCGAGGGGCACGTATATGAACAGGAGTAGTAAGTCGGCGCAGGCGAGTGACACGAGAAAGGTGGCGGTGCTGGACCTCAGTTTGCCACCCCTGGCCCACGTGGCGATCACCACGGAGTTGCCGATTATGCCCACGAAGAATGTGATGGCGTGTGTGATCACTATTGTCAGGAATGCTGTAATATGTATGTATGGATATGGTTACAGAATATTCTGTACGATTTTGTGTCAAGAATATTTTTGGGAATTTTATTTGTAAATGTTTTATAGAGTTAAATTTTAGGAGCTTTATAAAGTTTAGTAGTTTTAATTTAGCTTGCTAAATATTTCCACTATTTAGGTTAGAGTTACCTAAGAATATTTGAGTTTATATTAAATATATTTATTTTTTACAGAATTTTATTAAATTCCTTAAAAATGTTTTAAATATTTTTTTATTATGTTAATAAATATACTACTGCATGTTACTGTGCTATTACTTATGTCTATTAAATTAGTTTTATTGTTTTTGGTATAGGAATTCAATTTAAAATTATTTAAATCTTTTGAATGAAATCATAAATTTTGTATTTTATATTTATTACCACATGTGTTATCATTAGGGTAGCGCACTAAATATTTAAATCTTTATTTGCATTTCAGCGATAAAAATATTTTGAAAACCATTAGGAATCACAATAACACGGAATTATGCGCTAGGAATTTATTATAGATTATATATGTATTACGTGAATATATTTTTAAAAATTCAAATTTTTAATATTACTTCACATTATATTCCACACAAATTTAAACCAATAATATTAAACACAGACACAACTTACCGGGGTTTATGTGAAACGGATCCAACATATCATTGGGATTATCGATGTATACGTGAGTGTTGTTTGATAGCCGGGAACAGTAGGTCCCGTCGCCGGGCGTACACTCGTAGTCATAGCCCAGTGTTTGGTTGCCTACCATTCCGTCCATAACTGTAAGCAAAAATCACGTAAGAATTTATTTCTAAAGAATATTCTCTATAAGAATCCGGAAGTAAATAATATATGCGATAGACTATAATCCCATTGAATATATCCTAGATAATCTAATGGATTTATTATTGTCTAGTATAGGAAGTAAGTACAATTGTTTTATAGTGCTATATGCATATTTATTTTGGATATTATTTTAGATAGCTAGAATTTATTTGAGTTTTAAAAACTTTAATATTATTTATATATATATATATATAATGCATAAATTTATCTAAATATATCAATAAATTTCCGTAAGTATTACATGTATTAAGGAATATAATAATAAACTTTTAAAATACTCTTAATATTAGTTTCCACTCAAATCATAATAATAAATATCACCCGAAATACCAAATATTATAAATACATATCTCTTATGTAAACTCATTTCGCGTGCCATTCATATGTAATATATTAAATAAATTACTCTTAATATTAGTTTCCACTCAAATCATAATAATAAATATCACCCGAAATACCAAATATTATAAATACATATCTCTTATGTAAACTCATTTCGCGTGCCATTCATATGTAATATATTAAATAAATTTATATTTAATGATGACTTAAATGGTGTGCTTTCACTACACAACTAATGATAACATATTACATGATATGTCACTCGCGCTGTAATATAGCGACAGATATTTAATTAAAACATATAAAACTTTTTTAGATTAAAAATATTCTCAATCTATTGTATGAAAACACAAAAAACTATAAGATTTTATGATAACATTATTTTTTTACACATTGGATACAATAAATGAATGCCTTATAAAGTGTACTAGTATATATATTTATTATATAACAAATCGCTTACTCAACGCTAAATATAAATCTCAGTACAAAATGCTTAAACTTTTTTATATTACATTTTTTTCATACTAACAATAAGTTTACAAACCTTTTTCGCACACAAAATATAATAGTATGTGAGATTTTTTATCATTAAATTGAATATTGGGTTTAGTTGTATAAGTAGGGGAAATGGATGTGTTTTTCCCCATACTATTTGGGATTGAAAATACACTATTTACGACAACAACAGAATATTAT